GGGGAACAAGGCGAGGAAATACGGGAATGGCCGAACCCTCCCTCCCTCCGTCCCTGCATCCCACCACCATCGCAAACTGCCTAGGGATCTTCATCCTCACCATCCTCATAATCATCATCGCCATCCTCATACACATCCTCATCGTGCCTCTCCCAATCACCATCGTCAACGTCATCGTCGTCGTCATCGTCAACATCATCATCATCACCACCGTCATCGTCATCGTCACCACCTTCAGCAATACAATTCTATACATCCTCATCATCATCACCACCATCACCACCATATCATCATCATCAGCATCATCATCAGTATTATCATCAACATCATCGTTACCACCATCATCACCATCGTGATCACCACTACCACCACCATCACCATCACCATCATCGTCGCCATCACCATCATCACCATCATCATCATCATCACCATCATCATCATCATCATCACCATCATCAACATCTTCGGCATCCTCGTCCCCCTCCTCTGCCTCAAGCCACCTCCTCCTCCTCCTCCTCATCGTTATCCTCCTCCTCCTCCTCTTTCTCCACCTCCTCCTCCTCCTTCTCCTGTTCCTCCTCCTCCTCCTCCTCTTCCTCTTCCTCCTCCTCCTCCTCCGAATCATCTTCCTCATCCCGCTCATCCCGAAAGGCCTGTCAATAGGGCTCAAGAGGCCCCATCGGGACGTCCAAGAAACCAGTCGGGGGCCCAAGTTGCCAGTCGGGAACCCCCCCCCAAACCAATCGAGAGGCCCAATGCGGCCTGTTAAGCCCAAGAGGCCTCCTGGAAAAGACCCAGGCAGGCCTGTCGGGAAGGCCAAGGGGCTAATCGGGAGGTCCCAAAAGGCTGTGGGGAGACCCAAAGAGGCCTGTCGGGAGGCCCAAGAGGCATCTCGGAAAACGCAACGGAACGTGTCGCCCAAAAGGCCAGTCGGGCGGCCCAAAGTCCTCCTGTCGGGAGGCCCAGAAGGCCTGTCGGGAAACCCCAAATGCCTCTCTCGAAAAAGCCAAAGAGGCCTGTCGAAAAAAACATAAAAAAGGCTAGTCGGGAAGCCCAAGAAGCCTTTTCGGGAGGCCCAGAAACCTTCTGGGAGGTCCAAGAGACCCCTCGGAAACAGGCAAGCAAACATCTGTCGGGAGGCCCCAAGGTGCCCTTTGGAAAAGGCCCAGAAAGCCTGTCGGGAAGCCCCAAACGCCTCTCGGCAGGCCTGAGCAGCTCACCAAGACAATTCTTAGCCTCAAGGTGAGAGTATGGAAAATGGCTTCCAGGGATTGAGCCCTTCTGCCGCGGATTGAACCCTTCTGCCAGGGATGTCCTTTTTCTCCATTGCCCACCCTCGAAGGCAGACGTCGAGGACACATAAGTATATGTCAACCATCATGGACACCAAACAAATGGTTTCCAACAGTGTACGCGGTGCAATCGAAGTGGTGCAACTCACCTTGCCGAACTTGAAATTGTCGACTCTGGTGCTCGCGCAATCCTCCCACCCACCCACCCGCAACTAGGTTTGCAACACCCATGCAGGAACGATTGCGATGAATGCTTGGTGTGGGCTGGTGCATCTCCGCGGTCGCACTGACCCGCGCATGCTAGCGCGCGCAACGGCCAGTTAGTTTGGCGCGACCGACGCGGCCGCGGTGGCGCTGACCGCTCGGCATGCCTCAGCGCGCGCGCAAGGGCGTTCGAACGATTTCGGCATGGCAGGGCGAAACCTGTATGGTATCATTGTATGCAAATTTTGAAGCTGTTATTCCTTAGGATTTCGCAAGAACGCGCAAAGTTTTTGAACATCCGTGTTGCGAAACCTGGTGTTTTCCTATGTTTGGTGGAAGCTAGAACTTGACATCCTTACGAAACCGTGTTTTTTTGTGTTTTTCCTATTCTTCCGGCTTGTGCGCGCGACGACGCGCGTGTGCGCCCCATTTTTTGCGCAAAGGGTTCTCGCGACGGCACGCGCGCAATGGCGTCCGAACGATTTCGACATGCGCGCGCGAAACCCGTTTGGTAGCATTTTCTTTTGTTGTAAAAGCGCGCATTTTTTGGGTTTGGACAAAACATTTTTGTTGCGAAATCCTTTTTTTTCGACACTTGATTTTAACATCCAACTATTTAACAAATGCGGCATGCGCGCGCGACGACGCGCGCGTGTGCACTTCGTGCGAATTTTTGCAAGGGGTTCTTGGCAACTGATGAATGTTGATGAACATGCGTGCGAACATAATATTTGTTGCGGAAGATGGCGGGGGAACCGATACCGGCTCGGCTTGGATGGTACGAACTGATATTCAGGATGGACAACGGGGCAAAAACAGGTGTAAAGTGTACATCCTCAGGGGGTAGTGATCAGTCTGGCCTCGGGAGGGTGGTAGAGTCTATTCTACTCCTATGGAGAATGCATGCGGTGCAATCTAGGTGGTGCAGCCCGTGGCGCAAAGGAATGCAGCGCACTGCAAGGCAACGCGTGCGAACAAATGCAGCGTGCGAGCCTCGCATAATCGAAATCGTGACCAGCGACGGCAGCGACGGGCGGCCACGAGCCGGCCGGACCGACAGTCAGGCCCTCAGAAGAGAAATGATGGGGAGCCCACAAAGGACGTACGCGCCCAGCTATGTACATGAACACGGCCCCTCGATCCGCGAGACCGGCCGCGCTATACGAACATTTGCGCAATGCGTACTCTCGAAACCAGCGTGGATTCATGTACGTGTACGTCCTTCTGTCGCTCCTGAAATGAGAACCACCAAGTGCGTTTAACGTATCATCGCAATCTGAGAAAAGCCTCCTCGACCCTCGATCCTGGAGCCGCTTCTGCCTCCACGGAAATCCTAGGGTGTCCCAGGAGGTTTCTGGAGGTCCAGAGAGGGAGAACCTTCAAACAAACTAGAACCGCGAATCTCGACCATTGTCGTCGATCACCGACCACCGATCACCCATCGTCGTCGTCGTCGATCCTCGATCGTCGTCGTCGTCGATCCTCCACCACCGTCGATGCCATCGTCGATCTGGAGCCCCGCCGTTGGAGGGGCGCTAAGGGCTCGATGAGAACCGCCAGCTCTTCCCACCCGATGGGAGGGGGGGACCCCACGATGCGATGATACCAAAAAGCTCTCAAGCTGTGATTGCGCAACTTTCCCGCCTGGCTCTAGGGCGTGTCTTGCGACTTCGAGATTCGAGCCTCGGTGGCTACGGTTCGCAACGCATTCACGCAATGATGCATACATGCATACCTGCACACCTGCAGTAACTCATGCAAATCATGTACAATCACGAACTGCAGTGGAAACGATGCTCGGCTCAAGTGTGATAAACAACTCAGCTGTGATAAACCATGTGCAACCACGAGCTGCAATGGCAACGATGCTCGGCTCAAGTGTGATAGTAACATGTTTTGATCACGCTTGAGCCATTTTTATCACACTTGAGCTGTTGGATCACACTTGAGCTGGGACATGTTGCGCTGAACTCCGACAACGATCCGTGGACACAGCGGCAGGATTAGGTGCGCGCGTCTCCCCAGGAAACGCATCAAAAACCATGCGAACGACGATCAGAAACGGGTCTTGCGCGAGATGACACAGCGACCTTGCGCGGTGGCTTACGCGGGTCGCCCGCGCGGCATGCTGCATTGGAGACGAGGGCGCTTACGCGCGACCTTACGCGGGCAGCTTGAGCGCCGATGCCGGCGCCGACGACCCCCTTTTATGGCGTCGCCCATGTGTTTAAACCCGTCGAGCAGTCCACCAGAGCGCGGCCGATGAGGAGGAGGAGGAGGAGGAGGAGGAGGAGGAGGAGGAGGAGGAGGAGGAGGAGGAGGAGGAGGAGGGAGGGAGGAGGGAGGGAGGAGGGGAAGAGGCCATGAGATGCTGGCCAGACACGCTGGTGCTCACGCGCGCCCCCCTCCCCCCCGGCCGCCTGGGGGGGGGGGGGGGCGGGCGCGCGCGCGCCTCTTGGGTGTCCCAAAACCATGTGGTGACAGACCCGGCGGTGACCTCGAAATCCGCAAAGACCTCACCGCACGGTCCGTCACCACACGGTTTTGGGACCCTGGAGGCTCCAATCGTCCGAGACATCCTCGGAGAACGACCCAAGTCCCAAAACCGTGCGGTGACCCCGAATCCCCACCGACTCACCACACGGTGTGGTCACCACCCCGTTTGGGGGCCCCGAGCCTCGGCCTGTCCGCCCCGTCGCGCGCCGGGAGGGGGTGAGCCTCCCTCGACGAGCAGGGCGCGGGAGGAGGGAGACGAGTGGGAGAGCGGCGGGGAGCGTGGAGGAGGACTTCCCCCCCCCCCCCCCTCTCCCCTCCTCCCCCTCCCCCCCCACCCAACAGAAAACCAGCACTCCTCGCGCCATGCGCGGTTAATCTGTCATCTGGTGTGTCGTCGTCGGATCCCGACGAGAGGCGCGCGGACGAGGAGGGCGGTGAGGTGAGCGAGGAGCGCGACGGGGAGGCCGAGGAGGGCATCGCCTCGCCTGCACGCCGCGCCACGCGGCCCCACGCCTCCCCGCCATTGGCCGGGAACGTCGGGGCGGGTTGGCGCGGGTGTGGTGAGTTGGCGGAGGGGTGGGATGGCCGGTCCCAGTAGCGGGCCAAGGGGGGCAGGGGCGGCCTGCACGTCCCATAGCATGATGCCCGCTGCGCCCAAGCTCGCCACAGAGTTCGGGAAGAAAAACGCCACGACCAGGAAAAGGAATGCCACGACCTTCCCTCTTCCTCGTCTCCCGTCCCTCCTCCTCCTCCTCCTCCTCCTCCTCTGCCTCCGCTTGCTGCCTCCCCTCTGTCCCGTCCCGCCTGCCCGCCCACCTGCACTGTCCCGCCAGCCATGGCCTCCCGCCTGCGCGTTCGCCGCCGTCTGCTCGCTTCTCGCTCCCTTGCTCCCTCTCCGTCGCCGCGCAGCGCAGACTTCCGGGCAGTTCCTCTGATCTAGGTCGGCGCCAGACGAAGCAGCCGACGAGAAGGAGGGAGAGTACGACGATGACGACGACGAGCCCCAGCCTCCGCGGAGATCCCCGAACTCGCGGCCGTGTCCGTGTCGGACACGAAGAAGAGCCCGAGCTCGGGAAAGGCGCACAAGCAGTCCTCGAAGAACTGCCGCAACGAGTAGGCGGGCCGGCCTGCGAGGAGAGGGGAGGATCAAAGGTGGGGGGAAGGGATCGGGGGGGGAGGATACAGGCGGCGGCGGAGCTCAGTGAGGCCAGCAAAAAATGACCAACGGGGGAAAGTGGGGTACCCCCCTCGAAAGGAGGAGGCCTCCCTGCGAGGCCGGGTAACAGCACATCGCTGAACGATGCTGTAGCTTCCCCCCCGAGTACAGGCCCCACCCTCCCCGACCAGTAAGAAGACACATCGGTCTTGCACCCTCATGCGTTGCTGAACTCGGTCGCGTTTCGACATCTTCTACCCCAGGACCCTCAGGGCCGCCAGAGGAGGAGGAGGAGGAGGAGGAGGAGGAGGAGGAGGAGGAAAAACAGGGGGAGGAGGAGGCGGAGGAGGAGGAGGAGGACCAGTGTAAACCCAAGACTCATCAACGATGTTTGAATAAACCCTCCCTCCAAGTTCCCTCTTGAAAAGGCCCCTATAAGGGTTCATTCCCACTGAAAGAAGTGCTCCTTGGGAGACAAACGTTGGAACATTCTGGAAACATGCCCAAACACGGCAGTCCTGAATCTGTCCAAAACGCCATTTCTGGTACTTTAACAATGGGAATCCGTGAAACTCCTACACTTTCTTAAACGAATGTGCGCGGCGCTGAGGCGAGAGCCATTGTGAAAAAGGAAGCACCCTCAATCAGTGGTTGCAATGTTTGAGATTGAACGTGCGCGGCGCTGAGGCGAGAACCACATTTTGAAAACGCCCCGCCCTCAGTCCGAACGTCTGGCATTTCTTTAAACGAATGTGCGCGGTGCTAAAGCGAGAGCCACATTTTGAACACGCCCCGCAATCAATCCGTGAAGATCATGCACATGTTCAAGACGAATGTGCGTGGCGCTGCGGCGAGAACCACATCAAAAAACACCCGCCCTCTATCTGTAAAGTGCATGCACATTCTGAGAAAAAAGAATGCGCGCGGCTTTCACGCGAGAACCACTTTTTGAACACCACCCGCCCTTCATCTGTGAAGCTGGCACCACACTGGGAGCTTCAGGCTCACAAATGCTTCAGGACCATAAACGGCAGAGAGAGAAATGTCAAGGGAACGCCCAGCCCGCCCTTCCGACTGGCCTCGGGGCCCGACTCTCTTTCAGGTTCTCCTTTTCTTCTTCTCCTCCTCCTCCTCCTCCTCCTCCTCCTCCTCCTCCTCCTCCTCCTCCTCCTCCTCTCTCCTCCTCCTCCTCCTCCTCCTCCTCCTCCTCCTCCTCCTCCTCCCTCCGTCCCTCTCCTCCTCCGGCTCCACCCTCCTCTTCCCTCCTCCTCCTCCTCCTCCTCCTCCTCTCTCTCTCCTCCTTTCTCTCCCTCCTCCTCCTCCTCCTCCTCCTCCTCCTCCTACTCCCCCTCTTCCTTCTCTTCCTCCTCCTTCTCCTTTTCCTGTTCCTTTTCATTTTCCTTCTCCTTTTTCTCCTCTTCTTCCTCCTGCACAGTCTTTCTTCGCTCCCGCCCGCTTCCTCCTCCTCCCTCCTCCTCCTCCTCCTCCTCCTCCTCCTCGTCTTCCTCGTCTACAGAGCTGATAGCTAATGGCACCGATGTCTGTCAGACCCTGCCCCCCCCCCCTTCGGGGCGTTTGCAACTGGGGGTTGGGGGTTGGTGAGTCGGGGGTGATCATCAAGCTAAGGTATAATGAACATAATATGAGTAACGAGAAGAATGAAAGGACAAATCACAATACGAATGATAAACGTAGCACCCCGCAATTGCGCACAAGAGTGACAGGGGCGGCGGGAACGTCGGCAGTGTGCGAGGCTCTGAAGAAGCTGGCCGCAAGCACCTAATTTTTCAAATTATACGACGAGCTCGCCGCAGGCGCAGATTTTTTCGTCTAATATGGTTAGGTTGTGGGGTGGGTCGCGGGGTAGGTCGCGGGCGGGTCGCGGGTTGGTCGCGGGTGGGTCGCGGGCCGAGTCGCGGGTGTGTCGCGGGTGTGTCGCTGGTGGGTCGCGGGTGGGTCGCGGGCGGGTCGCGGGTGGGTCGCGGGCGGTTCGCGGGGTGGGTCGCGGGGTGGGTCGCGGGTGGGTCGCGGGTGGGTTGCGGGTGGGTCGCGGGCGGGTCGCGGGTGGGTCGTGGGCCGGATCGCGGGGGGGACGACGACAACAAACAATAAACAACAAGCAACAAACAACAAACACACAACAATAAACAACAATCCGAACCGCAGAGCCTCACTTCAACCACGCGTCCAGGGACAGTGAGCGACCGTTCGGCCCCCTCACTCTGACATTGGTAGGAATAAGAAGGATAACAATACTATGACAAATCATGTTAATACGAGAATAGTGCTGATAATGCTTACCAGGTTAAAAATACAGACAATTCTAATACAATGCATTCATCGTAATACTGTTGATAATGCTTATACCAATACTGATACGGATAATACGAATACAGCTTGCAATGAAAGGTTAACGTAACAGCAAAACCAATATTCATATCAACACATAGCACAAATAACAAACACGTAAGACCCCGCAGTCGCGGATAAGAGTGCGGGGGCGTCGGGGGCATTTGCAGACTGCGAGGCTCTGAAGAAGCCCGCCGCAGGCGTTTTTGTTGTTGTTGTTGCTGCTGCTGCTGCTGTTGTTGCTGTTGTTGTTGTTGTTGCTGTTACCTCTTTTATTTTTCAATATTAATAATACAACAAACCCGCCGCAGGCGCCAATTTTTTGTTAAATCATGGGTGGGTCGCGGGCTGGGTCGCGGGCGGGTCGCGGGGTGGGTCGTGGGGTGGGTCGCGGGGTGGGTCGCGGGCGGGTCGCGGGGTGTGTCGCGGGGTGGGTCGCGGGGTGGGTCGCGGGGTGGGTCGCGGGTGGGTCGGGGGCTGGGTCGCGGGCTCGGTCGCGGGGGGGACGACGCCAAACAACAGCAACAACACGTAACATCGCAAGGGCACCACGTGTTTTTTTGGGGGACGGGGATGATTGGGGGATACACTTGGACTGGTCGGTGTGTTACTAATCTGTGATCTTTAAGATGGGGGATCGCGCATAACATGTAAAGCTCGTATGCGGAGGGGTAGCGCTTAATCCCGGCCTCGGTGGAGCGGGTGGGGTGGGGTATGGGGGTAAGGTCTACTTCTTCTCTGGATGTGAAATATACGTCGCGCGTCCCTTGCCGTGCCATCGCGCGAAACGCCCACGAAGATTCCACGGGCGGGCACTGGGCGAGAACCCTGAAACGACAGCCAACGCACGGGGCGCCCGGGAGGCGCACACCGGGCGGGCACCGAACGGAAACCCCGAGTTGCCCATCAACGCACGGGGCGCCCGCGAGAGGCCCGCATGGCAGGTACCCAGCGAAGACCTGGAAATGCACGCCACTGCACGGGGCTCCCACGAGGCGCCCACGGGCGGGCGTCAGGCAAGATGTCAGTGATCTGCTGCGAAAAAACAACCAACCCTCCCTTGGTGCAGCCGCCGGTTTGGGACACGTCCTTGATCCTCAGTCCTCGAAGCCGGGAAGTGGGTAATTAACAGAGCCATGGCACCAGCTTCGCATGCAATGGGTCGGACAGCCATGCGGCCGTGGCCGGCAACAGAAATCAACATGGGTTCTCTTGGCCTTTCTCGCCTCACATCCCCGTGCACTCTGGACACGTGCTCCCTCCTCCTCTTCTCCTCAACCCTTCTCCTCCTCCACCCTCCAACCTCCTCTTCTCCTCCACCCTCCTCCTCTTCGTCCTCTCCCCCTCGACCTTCCATCCTCGTCCTCGTTGCCGTCGCTGTCGCCGTCGCTGCCTCCACCGCCGTCGCCGCCGCCGCCGCCGACGTCGTCGTCGTCGTCGTCGCCGTCGTCGCTGGCGTCGTCGCCCCCTTCGCCGTTGTCGTCGTCGTCGTCGTCGTCGTCGTCGTTGTCGTCGTCTTGGCTTTGGGTCTTCCCCGCGCGGCGTATCTGCTCGGCGATCCCGCGCACCTTCGCGAGGGAGCCCGTCTGCCCCGCCATTGCGGCGGCGAGCCTCGGCACCGCCCCGGCCGGTGGGAAGGACGACGACGCCTCTTCCTCCTCCTCCTCCTCCTCCTCCCTCCTCCTCCTCCTCCTCCTCCTCCTCCTCCTCTTCCTCGTCCTCCTCCTCCTCCTCCTCCTCCTCCTCCTCCTCCCTCCCTCCCTCTCTCCCTCCCTCCCTCGTCCCTCCTCCTCCTTCTCCTCCTCCTCCTTCACCCCTCCAAGCAACGAAGAACGAAGGCGAGGATGATGATGATGCTGATACTGATCATGATGATGCTGATGATTATGATGATGCTGATGACAATGATGATGCTGCTGCTGATGATGAGGATGAGGATGAAGGATGAAGGATGAAGATGAAGATGAATATTCTGATGATGCTGATGATGATGATGATGATGATGCTGATTGCATCAGTGATTGTTTCCTAACTCGGCTTGTCCAGAAAGTGTTGCCTGCTTGCTCACTGGCTTCACCTCTGCAAGTGCTCTGGGCCGGTGCCCCTCCGCTGCCCCTCTGGTGGGCCTCGTGTGCGTGCCGCTGCGCCTCTGGTGCACTCTGCGCTGCCCGCACTGCCGCCAACACTCTCGGGATCGTTTCTCGCGCGCTGAGCACTGCCATTTTTTCGTAAAGGGTGACGCCACGCGCTGTGCTTAACTAGAACTCAACGCGAGCCGTAGAGCGCAACGGACATATCTTGAAATTACCGTCGCAACCCTCGCTGCGCTTGCACCGCGCCTCCATCTACTCGCCTTCCTCCACTCGCTGTCACTGCCAGTGTTGCTGATAACGCTATGGCCAGGAAGCTCGCTCTGAGCGTGCCGGCTGGGAGCGGGGGAACATTGCGCTGCCGGCGCTGCTGCCAGGAAGCTCACTACCAGCGTGATGGCTCGCGGGCACGGGGGAGGAGGAGGAGGAGGAGGAGGAGGAGGAGGAGGAGGAGGAGGAGGAGGAGGAGGATGAGGAAGAGGAGGAGGAGGAGGAGGAGAAGATGGATGAAGAAGAAGAGGAGGAGGAGGAGGAGGAGGAGGAGGAGGAGGAGGAGGAGGAGGAGGATGGGCACCGCTTCTGGTGCACGTCGTATTGTCAGGGCCTCTGCCAACGTTCGTGCCAGTGCGATCACTCCGAGCGTGCAGGCTCCTGGCCGGCACCACGGCGCGCCGCAGACTCTGCTGCCAGCGCTGCTGCCAAGGAGCCCTCGAGCACAAGTGAGATCCCTGGGCGTAGGCCTTTTGTTTGGGGGGCCTCCTCGGAGCCTCGACGTGGCAGACTGCTCCAGGTTAGACCTCGGAGTCCTACAAGCCAGCCTGACCACCATCGACGCAGGCGGCACCGACGTAGCACCGACACAGCCTGATGTACAAGGGCCGACGTAGGCTAATGTGGCCGAGGGAAGCTCGCAACGAACCTCATGAACCGCCTTGTCGAGCGCGAATAATGGCGACGTGACGCTGCAGTAATGAAGCGCAAGGCGCATCCAGCCAAACAAGAGGCCTGCCCGCGCGCTGCATCCATGACACGGCGAAACCAGACCGCCAATATGTAGTAACCGCGAAGCCAAAATAACAACACATATGCAAGAATGAGTGCGCTAAGCTCGCTTGAGCCACAGACCAAATAATGCAGCCATGCGCCAAAATGGCTACGGGGGAGGAGAAGGAGGAGGATGCGGAGGAGTGACGATGGTGGACGAGGATGGAGGATGCAGGATGACGTGGAGGAGGAGGGCGCGCAGTTCCTCAAGGAAGCGTTCTTTACACTCGAGGATGCATCCTTCAGTTGCGCCCCTTTTGGGGATCCCTCCTTTTCCCTACAGGTGTACCCCACCCTGTTCCCCACATGCTTCCTTTTTCCGATGGCCCCTCATTTGCCCTTAGCTTACCTCTTGAACTTACCTTTTCAGCCTGTCTGCCCAAATTGCCTAGACCTTGCTTGTACCTTCAGTGTAGCTTGCGCCAGTCTTGCCCTAGCTTTCATTTGACCTACCTGCTAGCTTACCTTTGGCGTTCCTGTTCGTCTTTGCCGTTGCCTCACCTGTTCGACCTGTCCTCGCCTCAACTCTTTGCTTTGTCCATCTTCTGGCTTTAACTGCCATTTGGGCATAGTTTTGTTTTCCATCCATTTGGCTTTGATCCCGAACAGGGCTTTCCCAACTTGTGAATCTGCCACCGTTTCTACGGACACATTCCTAGCACATCCCGCAGTCCTCTGTGCCTTCCCCTGAGAGCTCTTCGGATACTCAACTCCTTCTGAACATGCACTGCACGTCAATGAACGATTTCGACCTCGCTCTCGAACGTTGCCTCGCTTCTCCCGGAAACCTGTGGGACCTTGCCAATGCTTTCGTTGCGAGCTTAGTCGGATCGCCACTCGGACGCGCATATTTCAAAACACACCAGGGTCAATCACATTAAACGTACCTGCTCGATGTAACCGAAAGAGACGACTAGAAACACTCTATCCTTTATTGTGTGCGGACCGACAGCGGAATGCACGTACCACATGATGACGCCCACTCCACCTTGCTGTACACTGGAGGTGGTTGAGTCTGCCTATGGGGTATGCCGCCTTCCGGCCATACGCCAAGAATAAGGCATACGTCATCCACACTTGCATGCCTGACGCCAACCGCGTTGCAGGCGCCGAAAACGCGACCATCCCAGAATTGACAAACACATAGAGGATTGTGCGTGTGAGCGCTATGTCTTCCAGTGTCCTGCGCATCAACAATTTGACGACGAGAACTCAAGCCTCGACTGCCAGCAGCCCTATTAAATCGCAAACCGCATGAACGCGTCCATTAGAAATACTTTTCGCCGCTGAGAATGCGTATTGCGTGGTGCAAGTGTGTTCGTCCATATGTGAAGTCAAAATGTTTGTGCTCTACGAGGGAAACTTGCTAGACACGTGTCTTCGGCATGTATGTTGCACGCTGGCAAGATGCCCACAACGCATCGCACACGACATGCCATGCCACGTCCACGGTCATCTGCATGAACCGCCGCGGCTACACGCAAACACTCAGGAACTTGTGTGTTATGCGCCCAATGCCAGTATACATGTGCACGTAGTCGCTATGGACACGTGTCTGGGTGGTTGTGCGTAGTGAGTTTAATCCAAACCAGCCCTCAGAACGCAGGTGGTTTAGACTGTTTGTCATTCCAGCCCCCTTCGTTCCCTTCGTGGAGGGGTTCGCCCATGCCCAAGATGGCTCCAGCAGGGCCACAGATAGTTCAAAGTGGCCTCCAAGATGACCCAATACAGTCTAAGATGGCTCAAGATGGCCTCCAGCATACCCCCAAGACGCTCTAAGACTTCCCAAGCTAGCTCCAGATGGCCCCTCGGCCTGCCCCGGATACCTCCGCGAGGTCAACATCGGTCAATCACTTGCGGTTTTCGAATGATTTTGGCATTCTCGCCTGATCGCTTCCGATGCTTTTGTTGCCGTTGTTGCTGTTTCCCCCATCCCTTTACTCCCTTTGAAGCATCGGTGAGCCTGCGGGCGGAAAGCCTCTGACCCGGGCATCGGCAGCAGTCTGCAGAATCACAAAGAGCGTGGGACGTGGCTGGAGGGAAGAGGAAGAAACAGGAGGAGGAGAGAAAGAGAGGGAAAGAGACAGACAAGCAAAAAGGAACAGCGGCCCTAAGAGCGCCCAAGAGCGTCCCACGATGGCAACACATAGAATCCGCCAGCCCCCTTGCGGGGCCATCAGGCTGCGAAAATCAGGCTTTCAGCTCCCTGTGCCAGTTGCAGTTTCCAGTTTCCACTGTTAGAGTCCTGCTTTCTGCTTCCTAATTGTTCATTGCTGCTGAACGCGCGAAGGGGGGGAGCCGAAAAACGTCCTGGTTAGCGTCCCCGAGTCGCGTTGTCTGAATTCCCGGGTGTCGTGGGACACATACAAATACGTGATGTTCGCGTCCCCGAAACCATAATCCCTAGTGAATTATGCCATATTCGCGTCCCCCAGGTCATAAACCTTCGTAAATTAATCAATATTCGCGTCTCCGAAGCCATAATCCTTTAGGGATGTACCCAACCCTTTGGCAACAGGTGGCATTATCAACTGGCGCTTTCAAAATAGCTGAACATCCGCTGGACGTCCAAGAGGCCCACGAAAGCGACGACCATTGCATTCTTGGCAATCGCCGCGCTTGAGGGTTTCTGACGGCCCAAATCATTCAAACACCATCGTAAAATTCGTGGTTTTGGCCTCTCGGGGCCCTCCAATGAAGCCTTTTGGAGGCCTCTTGGAGCGTCTTGGAAGCATCTTGGGCCGTCTGGGGCCCACCTTGAACGTCCTGGAGCGATCGTTCGGCGTCTCAGGAGCCCACGAAAGTGCGGACAATTCACCCCGCAGGGAGCCGCGAGGTCCCGACGCGATCCGCGTGTAACCCCACTCCGCTGGGCCCAGGAGCCCACGAAAGGACCGACAATTGCGCAGTTCGCAGCTCCCCCCGCAGGGAGCCGCGAGGTCCCGACGCGATCCGCGTGTAACCCCAACTCCGCTGGGCCTCCCAGGAGCCCACGAAAGTGCCGACAATTGTGCAATTGGCAACTCCCCCCGCAAGGAGCCGCGAGGTCCCGACGCGATCCGCGTGTACCCCAACTCCGCTGGGCCTCCCAGGAGCCCACGAAAGTGCCGACAATTGCGCAATTGGCAGCTCTCCCCGCAAGGAGCCGCGAGGTCCCGACGCGATCCGCGTGTACCCCAACTCCGCTGGGCCTCCCAGGAGCTTACGAAAGTGCCGACAGTTGCGCAAGATCGCAGGAGGCGACAGATGCGCATATCGCAGCCCCCCAGAGGGCGCCGCGAGGAGGAGGTAGGAGGCAGGAGGGAGGTGGGCGGGAGGACGGGGCGACCAGAGTGCTCTATTCAAAACGAGTACCCAACCAAGGGAGGGTTGGGAATTATACAATATCTGCGTCCCCGAAGCCATACGCCCTCCTAAATTATATGATATTTGCGATCCCGAAACAATGAACCATTGTAACTTAC